TGAAGGCACATTATATGTGTTTTCTCCTCGTGCATCCATGACTTAAGTCTTTCCTTCTTTCTGCGGATGTCCGTATCGCATAGTCCACATACATTCCAAGTCGTTATATTTATCCTATTGCTTTGGGGCATTGGCCCCTAGGAAACCGGCAACATTATGGATCCGGTTGGCTCTGGACACTTTCCCTTCCCTTTCCTTGGTCTTCGAGTTACTTCCTTTCTCCCAAGGCTGTCATAGGTAATTAATGAATCCCTGCCCCAGGAGAATTTCTCGCTGAGAAGCCGTCTGCAACCATTCTGCCAAGGCAACAGCCGTAGTTACATCAGCAATACTGACTGTGCCCAATCGTTCGTTCAGAGGTGAGGTGAGGTGCACGATTGGTGTCCAGGTGAAACCCTTTTGTTCCAAATCGATTAACTGTTTCACTTCCATCTTCGCTTCCATACAGGCAATATAGAGGCGAGCGTGTGACACATTATTTTCCTCAACTGTATATATGCCCATCCGGAGATTAGGTACCAACCGAACCGACAGGTTCCCCTGCGTGAGCTCTTTCACCTGTCGTATGATGAAAGACTCCGTCGTGGCGTCATCCAATTGAAAGGGAATTATTGGGAGGGAAACCTTACCTTGTGCATCCGTTCTGGTCAGAAACACCACCTGAACATCCCGTGCCACCGATATGACCGGTACCAAAATTCTGGGTATAGCTTGTTGTTCCTTAGTCAAGGACTTGATTGGGACTATACTCGAGAGTGAGCCCCGATTCGATCCCTTTTTGTGGATCTTGTAGTCTTCACAGGATTCCCGACTTGACTTTGAATCTTCCCGTTCCAAACTCTTACCTCTGGATACCCTTTCCTTGGACTCGTCGTCCCCGGATAGACTAGATACCCTGGATCTCTTCAAGGGAGATGACTAATGTAACGAGCGTGAGGCTGAGGGTGAGCCGAGGGAGATGAGAGAGAGGGAGAGAGAGGGAGAGAGGGAGAGCACACACACACACTCACTCACTCGACACGACGGACTCGGACTGAGGGTCGTACGCAGACACAGTGGCAAGGCACAAAGTCGAAGTCTTGGATTCCGAATGTCCAAACGGCAAGTCACACTGATTACGAGTACAGCAGCAGAGAACTGGTCGAGACTCCCCCCCATACCGTACGGGGAGCCGGTCATAAGTACCGGTGACACGTACGGTACCAGGGGCATTTCTGCAAAGGCCCCGAGGGCAGAACTGAAAAATGCAGTATTTGAAAGTGGCACCCGAATTGCAGCATGGCGCCAGTTGTCCAAAATCCTACGGTACCAAAAGGAGGGGTTTGGAAAAAGGGTGCCAGGCCGAAAACGGGATGCAGCCGAAACAGCAAAAGATAGACTAGGGATCGAGCCCTGGCGAAGTCCGTAACAACTAAGGCCCTTTCGTCGTTTTGGCTCGAACTGTCTTCTCAGTAGTCTGGGTTACAACGGCGTCCACCTCTGCATCTTCCGCGTCTGGATTGGCTTTATTGACCGGACTTCCATCCCTATCCCCTTCGTTCATTTTTGTGTCCCGGTTTTCCGATGATTTGGGTGAAGGAATTTTTTCACCCGGCTTTACTACCTCATGTGCTTTCGGGTTAGCATCCTTGTGCTCACTCAGGGGTTGGGAGGATGAGTTCATGGACTTCTTACTGTTCTGTTTGTCCCCCCCTTTCGATCGTCCCATGCTACTATTCCCCTTCTTATTCCCTGACACACTCATGGCTGGATTAGGGCTTGAAGCCTCATTCCTTCGCGTCCTATATTGGAATTTGTTCCAGCCCCGTGCTGGGACATTCTGTCCCAGCGGTACGAAGCCTGAAAACGGTGGTGTAGGAAGTGGATCTCTAACCGTTGTAACGAACGGGTCAATCTCCGCTGCCGGGCAACAGTTGTCCGTTTCTTTGTGATAGTTCATTCGACACTTCGGGCACCACGGGGTTGCTGTCGATACCACCTCAACATGATATTCTCCTTTACTTGGAATTCCCACAATTAAACGAGGCTTGACCCGCATTTCAGCCAAGGGTTCCAAATCAAATCTGACCGTACCCAGTTCCGGTTCATCTTCATATTCTTCAAAAGGGTGACGTTTCACTACTTTCCCAAAGTTCGATTCCACCACAATTTGCAACGGTGCCATTAATTGGAGCGGGACATGCACACATCGAATCCAGAAAATCTTAGGTTTCCCTGTTGTCTTGTAAAACTTCATTTCCGCAAGATCCATCCACGGTAGATACCCCATACAATTTCCCATTTAGCTCGATTTCAACCGTGCGTTCCTGTCTCAACCAATCCGCGATTTCGCTCGTGCTTGCCACATATGTGGCAAGGTTTTTACCTTCATTTTGATATCGACCGCGTTTGGTGTCCAGATCCACATCTCCTGAGTCATACCAGGAGTTTTCAAAAACCCGTACAAGTTGCTTCTTAATCTTATTGGAGAGATTTCCGGCTTCCTCTTTGAAAACAATCGTGACAGCGTGTTCACGAAGCCACTCTGTCTGTTGATCAGAAAAGTCCTCATCCTCACCCCGTTCGGTCTTTCCGATACACAGCCCAGTGGGGAGAAGACCGTCATGGAAACAGGCATCCAGTAATTCACGGATGTACTCTTTCTCTTCAGTCGTATAGACTCGAGTGCTCGTAGTGTTTGGGTGGTTTTGTGCAAGACCGTGCAGATTCGGCATGTGGGACGTCATTTTCACTTGACCTAACCATAACCATTCATTAATACAAACGCAATACCCAATATTATAATAGGGAGGTCTCAATAAGAATAATAAATAATTTTCTCCCAGCTCAAGTTTGTGGGCCGCTTACCCACTGTTATCTCCTTGCGCTGCAGCTTCCGTTGATCTCATACATGGTTCCAGTGAGTCTTCGTAACTTTCCGAGGTTTCCAGGGTGCGAGGGCCTGGGGTCGAAGGATGCGGTCAAAATGTCCCGAGCCACCCTGAGGTGAAGTTCCGCCCCATTCACGTAGTGAACAGTTGCTATTCTGAGTGGATAGCGGCGTACTTCTCCAAAACCACCATAGATGATCTATGGCAGGCGAGTGGCATTCCAGTTACCTGGAAAATATCGAGAAAGATTACCGTAACCTGGTTCGACAGCTGCTTCGAGCCAGGCGCTAACCATCGCCGAAAAACAGCGCTCGTAACATTGGCGCTACCGGTAGGGCCTATTCCCCTGCTGACCCTAGCGCTAACCCGCAACTGCGATTAGCGCTGGATTAGCGCAGAATTAGCGCTACCGGCCTCCTCCCCCCCGTCTACCCAGAGCTGGAAGTTGTTGTTGTTGTTGTTGTTTTTTACTTCTTTAGTAAAAGGCGAAAGAATAGTACGCCAGTTGAGTTGGACACGCAGCTGGATAGAGCTGGAAGTTTCGGATGGTTGAATATAAGCTAAACTGACTGATGCTGTCAGGATAACTCCGGGTTGAATTGTGAGGTCCCCGGCCTCGATTGATATTTTTGGAATATATGTTCTGTTTCAAAAAAAAAAAAAAAAAAAAAAAACAATTCGACAATGAGCTTTCCCGCAAGAACATGGAAAGATACATTTCCATATGTTTTGTCTTTTGTGATGTCCAGCTCAGTGCACCTGGGCCCATTAATTCATCGTTTTACAGGTACTCCATGTGGCAGAACAGTAAGCGCGCTACACAGCTGGATTTTTTTTTTTTTTTTTTTTTT